ATGCGTTTTTCTAAGGTACATAAACTTTTGGTATTGACTGTATAGCCAATACATCTTTAAACATGCACATGCATATGTTCATTGAATTTAGCAATATTATTGCGTTTCATAATAAAACATACTTTTATTTTTTCATAGTATTGAAACAATTCCTTGTTGCTGTATTCTTAATTAAAATCTGTTACGCTCAGAATTTCTCAGTATGATTGAAGTTCACAATCAGCTTTTATCGCGTGGTCGAATTATCTTTAAGTTGCACATATTTCATGTGTAATACTTGTGTATGATTATGGCACACGTTATGCGAGACCACACACCGTGCAATATTCAAATGAACTCTGCTCTCCTGGGCTATCGTCCTGCCACAAATGTCTCTTCGCAGTTTCACGAGCATCTCCTTATTTTGGTTGAACTCTGTGACGCGTAACATCTCCGAACTTTTTCTGATTTTATGCCAAACCAAATACATATTACGATTCGGTGGTCAGGAGGTCTCTCTTCTAGATTTCGGTACACATACAGAGTAAGCAATCTAACATTTTCATTAGAAATATTCTGATTCAAAGTGTTATTTTCAAAATGTGTTGTGGACGTCATTTCCAAATTGTGTCACTTATAATTTCTTCCAATTTGTAAATGGATGAAGCATACTAATTTTTATATTTTTTATAAACATTGTAGGACATTAGTATATGTTATAAATATCTGTTATAGTTATTCACTTCATATGATAATAACATTCGATTGGGCATGAAATTTCTCGAGGAAAATAAGAAGTAGGGGATAGACGTCGTTAACGATGACAACAGCGATGATGATCATTCACAAGAGCTGGTTCTCCCGGTGGTTAAATTCCAACCGAGTAGGGTGCGAACCGCCTTGTCCGTAGACACCCCCCCACCTCCGCGTCGAATCTGTAATTCAAATTCGAAGTCAAATTAATTTAACGCTCGTCATTTTTCACATACCGCCGGCGCCACGGTGCGCGGATCTCCGGCAGCCGTTTTTCGATATTTCATTCTTCGAACGTATTATCTGTACATACATGCATAGTATACTACCTCGTTTCTGATAGATGCGTCTCTCCAATGATTCGGCTGTCGCTTTTTTGACACGGGAGACGCGCGTTGCATATAAGAAATATTGTAGGATATTAATATCATATCTGACTTACAAACTGTCGTCCTGAATTCCCAATAAGTAAAGAGATCCTAAAAAATAACATAAATAATGTTGTTAAAAACAATGCATTAATCAACAATTAGTATTTATTATGCTACCTTTTACATTTACAACTGAAACGAATAAAAGAGTTATTCA